CTGTCTGCTGGAGCAACCACTGGAGCTTCATCCAGGGATGCCTCTTCAGAAGCAACCACTACAGGAACAGGTTCCTCCTGTGGAGCTTCAGATTGAGATACGGCTTCATCTGGATCTCCAGCGGGGACTGGTTCTGGTTCTTTTTCAACAACTGGAATGACTTCCTCAGCTGGCGGTTCCTCGGGAGACGGAGCTGTTTCCCCTCCAGCAGCTGGAATGTGTTTCTCCTGAACCGATGCTTCCTCCTCTACAGGTGTGACTTCCTCTGGACCTGGTTCTGGATCAGCAGCAGGAGGCTGAACCACGTCAGCAGCTGCAACAGGAGTTAGATGCTCAGTGATTTACTGGTCGTTTAGAACTCTGAGTTAGTCAAAGAAAGAATGTTTTAATTAACACAGTGTCACAGTTTATGAAGGACGTTTATGTTGGAAGTTCTAAAAATGGCCAAACAGTCTGTTTGTCTTTGTCTGCAGTAGAAAGAAATCAGCATCACCCTGGAGCTTGTTCTATGGCTCTGATCCAGGTTGGTTCCTCCTGACCAGAACCTTGCTGGTTCTGTTTCTGCTCTCAGATGGACGTCGCTTTGGACAAAAGCTGAATAAAACTGTAGAATTATTGCAGAGAGGAATTTATTGATTGGGTTCAAAACTTTAATCACAAACATGTGACGTACTGGATTTAAAGGCTCTGGAGTCTGACAAAGCCGTTTCCCACAAAGTCCGCTCAGTGTTCTGTTCTGAAAAACGGTGTCGGATTTAATGATGGCAGATTGCGTAACAGTCAGAACCATCTTCAGCGCCGTGGAGGTCCTACAGCAGCCCAAGTTTAGTCCAAACCTCTGACATGCTAACATTTAAACCGGCCGTGAAAGTATTTTGAGAAAAGCGCGGCTGTTAATCACATCTGAGGGGTTTTAGTCTCAGTTTGTTCACAGATAGAAAATATCTAAAGCAGCATTTCAGACTCATGAGCTGCCTGTTCGGTAAAATCAGACTTTGTCCTGATTAAACAACATCTGCAAACTTCTGTAATATATAAAATAAACTAAATATATAATAACATAATATCTTCTGAATCAAGTCGGTCCATTCATGCGTTCATAAATCAACAAATACTGATGAAATGTTGATTCAGCAGATTCTCAACTAGCTGTAAATATTATAACAGTGAATTCAGTCAATGTGCTCATGTCCTATATTTTTATAAATATTGTGTCTAAGCTGTGTTCAGGTCCATTTGCCTATTATTACCAGCCTCATAGTTTCAGGAGCTTTGACGTAATTCTGCATCATTTAATTGTCATCAGAACCCCACATTCATTAATCTGCTCTGAGCACAACCAACAGAGTTCAGAGGAAACGCATGTCTTACGTATCGGTGCTGCCGAGTACAGCTGGACGTCCAAGAGCAGGACCAGCAGCAGCAGAGAGCAGCGTTTGAACATCATGTCCGTCTTCTCAGAGTCCTTCTACGTCTGAGTTCAGCGTCTCCTAATAGCTCCAGTGCCTCGGCCGGGCCGCTGAAAACGAATATCCTGCAGGGTGAGGCCCTCGTGCAGCGTGGACACATGTTGAGAAGTGTCACGCCATATGGAGCTGCAGGGAGGGACCAGAGGAACCTCCAGAGATACGATCACATGCGTGTCTTTCACAAGCAGGCATTCCTCTGTCACCGGTCACCACCTAGAAAGAAGTTAAATAGGAAACCAGCGAATCCCTGTTTTAAGAAGAAGTTATCTGGAGCCACTCGGCTGTTTCTAAGCAACACAAAAACCTCGTTCCCTCCTGTAACGGTGAGAAAGATGCTCGTACGTTCTTCCAGCAGGAGCTGGATTCATTTTGTGAGACGTAAATAAAGGCCTTTGCTCTGTGAAGGCAGCAGCTCCTCCAGCACATTAAATATTTACCCTATCTTAAACTGATGAAAGGATATACTGGCTTTTAATACTTCCATTAACTGAAGTAGAGCTCGAACGAATATTAAACTTCGCCACGCATCAGTTCACAGGGCGTATTCCCCTCTGCACAAATTAAACCGCTGGCGGCGTGGACGACTCTCCGGTGGTTGTGTTAGGGGCTGTATCAGTGATAAGAAGTTTCTGTGCTTTTAAAAGTGGGAGTCGTGGGTATTTATATTATTTAAAGGTAATAATATTTGGTATTTACCACCTCGTCGTGGTTACAATAAAGGCTGTAGGAGCCGACGAGCTGCTAGAAGAGGGTCAGCGTTCAGAACAAAGGAGGGTGACGGCAGGAAACCAATTTAGATTGAGGGGTCCAGTATGTTTTAAAATATACATGTGAAGCAGCTCATACGTAGAGAATAGGAGGGATGTGTTTCATGCTCGTTGCTTATATCATCTGTGAATTTCTCTCCTTTTTGCTCAGATTCTGATAAACACAAGTCGGCTCTCTGTGGATGATGATAACTCCATTTCCTAGTCGCCTACGTCTCCAGTAAGAAAGCTCAAACAGCACATTATTCCACAGTGAAGTTACCATATTTTATTTCTTTAAGTGCCATTCATGCATATTGGGGAAGGGGGTGGGGCGGGCGGTGGTATCGACAATTCTAATAACACTTGAGAGTTATTTTACAGCACTAAACGAATACAAAGAGTAGCTGTGTCACCTCATCGGACAACAAAAGTAATAAACCGTGCAATAAACGACAAAAAAAAAACAAAAAAGGACAAATAGGAGAAAAAAATTACAAGAAATGACAAAGACGAAATCAAAAAAAACAAACTGAAAAATAAAACACAAACCAAATATATATTATCAACACTGAAACACTGAATGTAGAACCATAGTACAGGTAAAAGGTAGTGTCACACAAAAAGCCAACGCGTTTTCATCACATATATACAATATAGATATATACATACTGTCACCCTCTGATTGGACAATAACAAAATACTCTATTCTTTTCCCCTCCTCTCGTCCGTGGATGAGACCCACCCTCTGCCTTGATACCCCACCCCCAAGAGGAAAAAAAGGGATGATTGAAAAGACACATATGTACAAGCACAACAACACACCAGCACTGAATAAAACAGGCCCCGATCAGCAGTAGATGTTGGCAGTTCTCTCCCATATTGTAACAAGGCTTCTTTTTTTCATCTTTTTTTCTTTTTTTAATCCCCTAATAATAATAATAATAATCTCTCTGGCAGGTACATGTTCAGCGGTATTTAAAATTGTCATCTGGAAAAAAAAAAAATTAACCTCCCACAAGCACACACACTCACACACACACACTCGAACACACACACACACTCACAGAGACATGATGTAAAACCGTGATTGTGATCCAGTCATTGTCGTCACCTTTTTCCCTTTTAGCCACACGTGTGTGCTCAGACCTTCCATCCCTGTGGGCCGATGTGCTCATACGTGTGCTCAGTCTTCACCTGGAAGAGCAGGAGAGCTCCACCGAGGACTCGCAGCTCGCTCTCTAGTCCTTAGAGTCCTCATTAACACACACCGGCTCTCCTTTATCTGCAGTCCTTTGGCCCGCGCTCACCCAAAAGTCCCGATTTGGTTGAACTCAGCTCACTGAGCGTTCTGTCTGATTGTGAAACCCGGCAGGTGAGCAACACTTACAGAGTCACCGCTGACATCCACAGGTGAGACATTCGATAAACGAAGACAGACGACACACGGCGAGACAGAAGCAGAAGTGGACACGTGTGATTGGCAGGGATTTAAAAACAAAGTGAAAGTATTTAAAAATGAGCGGCAGTGTCGTCAGTTGTTCTGCACAGTGCAGCTCTGGACAGCTGAACAGAAGACCTCCGTATAAAACTGGGCTGGTTCTGGTTCAGAGTTATGGGTCACCAATAAAAAACCACGTGAGACTCAAAAGTGCCTTTTCTCACAATCACAACATGTTATCATCAAACCAAAGGATCCATGATTGTCATCCCAGTATGAAACCAGAACTGCTGGACCCCTCGCAGCTCGATCTTCTCAAAGAGATCGTTAGAAATTTTGGGTTAATTTGAAAAATGTCGGACGTCTTCGCTGAGATGAACGCGTCGCTCATGTCTGGACGGTGAAGCAAAGACTGGAAACTGCAGGACACAAACATTCTGTTTAAAACATGTTGATTGATTCAGACAACACTGTAACGGGGGGTTTGTTTTGTTGTTTTTTGCTTGAGGTTAACGCTTCACGTCCGATAGAACCACAGAAAGGGTCGGAGCGACAAGTCGCAGCTTACTTTCAACCACCTTATTTCTCATGTTGTTGTCTCCATTATTGATTTCAGATCAAAACATATTTCACTTGAACAGAAACGTCGTCAGCTACGACTGACGTTACACGTGTGAGAGCTGATGGAGACAACCTGTTGGACTGGACTAAACGAAGGCTCATAAACAGGTGGCAGCAGAGTGAACGGACCCCACAGCAGGACGGATAAAGACTTTTATCCTCTTTTCTTTTTTTTGGCCTTTAGACCAAACTCTGCTGCAGGTAAACAGCTGCTGTCTGTGTTTGTTTGGTGAAGAACACGAGAAGATAAACTGCACATCAGTGGAGAACATGTTCATGTTTGGACGGAGACGGTTGAGATGTTTCCAGCCTCATACGAACCATGCAGACATGAGGGTTAGCAGCCTCTCAGAGATTTCCCAAAATACAGAACTATTCCTTTTAACGGTGACACACGGCGTCATAGCGCCGTACGCCGATCGGCAGAGAGAAGCTGCTCGGCGGTGGACGAAGCTTCAGACGTCTAGACGTGAGTGAAATGATGAGCCAGAGAATGAAGAACGGAGTTAGCATGTGCGATTAGCTTCTAGATCCAGGAGGTGCTTTGCATTTTAAAAGTAAACAAAAAGTGGAGGTGTGCAAAGGGCTGATTTGTTGGGGTTTTTTGAACATAGTGTCTCTGGAGTTCAGCACCTGTCTGATCGACGAGCCACTAGTTACAGGACACAGAGGACAGGTTTCCAGAACCACTCAGCTCCCGGTCTGTGCTTCAGAAACCCTTCCCACCAAAATCTAGTCTTTAATCACTGTGTGCATCTGCTTTTGTGCTCATAGATAGCATAGAGATGATTGCAGCAATCAATCATAGCCCTAAAATTACAATAAAACCCAACCACACACTCACACACTCACACACACTCACACACACTCACACACACTCACACACACACACACACTCACACACACACACCATATGTCCGACACACACACACACTGTATGTACTGTATAATGAGTCACATTTCTCATTCTGTTATGATTGTATAAGAGCAGAATCTTACGCTATCTATCACAACAAAACGTTGGGCAGTTCAGAAACAGAATCGGATCTCCATCATTCAGACGTGACAAACGCCACGAGCTTCCTGTGATGCACGGCGGCGCCACAATTTGGAGGCAACTCGTTCTTTAAACGAGAGAAACTCGCAGTGAGAACCCGGCCGCTGCAAAGAGAAGGTTCAGAACGTGTGTGAGTTCTATTGATCGTTAACCAAAGTCAGAACCAGACACCGGGTTCTTCTAAACAGAGCTCAGCGACCCGTTTCCTCCTCGGTCGCTGCTTCCTGTTTACGAAAGGTGAAGAAAGATCCCCGGAAATGTCAAAATCGTATCATTGAACCAAACCAATGTTGGAGCTTTGAGGCCTTGTTTACATCAACAACCAACATTTCACTCTTTCATTTGTTTGTTTAAAGAACTGTGACGTCCAATCAGATAATTCAGAATTATTCCAAAGACCTCAGACATGTCTCTAACATTGGTGTGCTGCAGCTCCTTGGTATTTAATGGCTGGTATAGATAACGGTAAAGAATCAGTTCAGATCGGCCAAAAACACCTCCTCAGTCAGACTCTGTTGCAGATTAATTAACTGTTTCTGAATGATCCTGTTTAACGACCAATAGTCACCCAAACCTGCTGATCAGCCACACGGTGCACATGGAGAACCTAAAGCTAACGTTACTTTGGGTTGAATGGATTCAAATAAAGCCCGACTTCCCTGCGATCATCTTCTGCTCATCACACTGATCCACCTGTAAGTGCTTGAGACGGAGAACTTAGAGAGGAAGCTGCTCCACCAGCTGGTCTGAGCCCGATCACCGGTCGGCCATTTAAATCTCTCTCTGTTGAACATCAAGCCTGCTTAAACATCTAACACCCTGTTCAGAACCTCAGTTTGTGTAAACCTAACTTCACCACCCATTCAGCCGCAGCGGGGCCCACGTCCTCCCAAAGAGTGACCAACGAGCACCATCACATTACTCACAGAGACGGCCTGTGCTTCTGAAAATAAAAAAACAAAAAAAAAACAAACCTAATTTTAAAAAAGAGAGAGATAAACTCATCCAAGAGGCAGCTGATGCCAATGTCAACACGAGAATTACAAGCTGAACACGTCGCTCAAATCACATAACGGTTACGGAGCAGGGGTCTGGGGGGGAGGGGCTTTGGAAGGCTGCTCGCTAGGGCTGGGGAGAGGGCTGGCTGAGGAGCTGAGGAGCTGAGGAGCTGAGGAGCTGAGGAGCTGAGGAGCATGTGGTTTAGACGTGAATGTGTTGTCTCTGGACAAGTCTGTAAGCGATCACTTTGACATGTCCGACTAAATATGATTGTCTTCAAAGTAACATCTTCTACGTATGTTTTGTAAAATTGTCAGGACTCTGAAGTCTGTGTTTCTCCAAAGCTTGTCGAATGTTCTTCTGCATCCCACCCACAGCGGCCTCCTCCACCTGCGGCCTTTCAGCTCAGCCTGGCTTCCCCCGGCTTCCACCTCCTCTCCTCGCTCCCGTTTGTTTGCAAAAAAAAAAAAAGGAGGTCTGGGGGGCTAGACGATGGAGTCCCAGTCAAAGTCATCCTGGATGTCGTCGGCTGGCATGCGATGCATCTGGAAGTTTCTGGGGGGTATCATGTGCTGCTGGTTCATCTGTGCATGATGTCCTGCAGAGACACAGAGAGTTTAGCCAGCTGCTACTCAGACATAGAAGATGCAGCGGGTTTGTGCATAAGACGTATTAGCTGTTAGCATAGCTGCTACCTGTCATGGTGGGTCCTGCACTGCTCATCGGGGGCATGTGGGGATACCCTGGAGGGCCCATCATGGACATGCTCTGTCTGGTGTCCATGTAGAGATTTCCTGGTGAGACAATCAAAACTCCATTTTAAACCTCTATCAATCATCAGTGTGTAGAGCAGTGGCTGTGCCTTGTAACTCTCTCATTCTACCACAGCGAGTCTCTGAGCTTGTTGTAAAGGCACACAGGTGGAAGGTGATGCTGCTACAGCTGCACCGTGGCTCCTGTAAACAGTCAGTCATCTATAAATCTCTAAGTTCTGCAGCTTGTGAATAAGAGACACTGTTGGCTGATAGTGTTTCAGGAGTGACTTCCACCCCGATGAAGATTTTAGTCAAGTTTTCCTCTCATCTTTGCCTCCTCTTTAGAGTTTACTGTATAGTTTAGCATCCTCAGGGCAGTGAAAAGGATTCAGACACTGAACTGGACCACCTACTCTGTTCATAACAACAGTAAACATGTTTTTAAAGGAGGGAACGGACGGGACATATGTTTGTCCTCACAGGAAGGAACTGAAGGTAGACAAATGTATCATCCCTCATCTCTACACCTTAATCCTCACCAGGGTCATGGGGGGGCTGGAGCCTATCCCAGCTGACTCAGGGTGAAGGCAGGTTCACCTGGACAGGTAACCAGTCTATCACAGGGCTACACTTAGAGACAGACAACCAAGCACACTCACATTCACACCTACGGACAATTTACAATCACCAATTAACCTCAGCATGTTTCTGGACTGTGGGAGGAAGCCGGAGAACCCGGAGAGAACCCACGCTGCACGGGGAGAACATGGAGACTCCACGCAGGAAGATCCCGGGTGTCCTCACCGGGACGCCAACCGGCGACCTTCTAGCTGTGAGGCCACGGTGCTAACCACCGAGACACCTGCAGCCCTCTTTAATTCAATTAACTGTATTTGTCCTCTTGGGGCAATTCAACAGCTCACTGAGTATATAATGTAAAGACATAAAATAATACTAATGATAATACTACTACTGCTAATAATAATAATAATTATTATTATTGCAGTTCACATTTATATTCTGTACTTTTGACAAACAATAAAGAAAGAAACTAAATTAAACCAAACAGCCAAAGGCCAAAATCCTGCAGGACACACTGGATGTAGGACGTGACGACTGTTTGATCACGTAATTATCACTTTAACCTGTTTTAACTGTTTTAAAAGAGACAGCAGCCATCTTTAAACACCCCCCCCACCATCATAATGCGACCTGAGCGACATTCTCGGGCAAAGCAGAGGCGGTTTACCTGTGTTGAGGTGCTGGCTGGGTTTGTTGGTGTGCATGGAGCCGTGGCAGACAGGAGACTGCACTGCCCCCTGTGGCTGGATCACGCCGGTGCGGGCAAAGAACTGGTTGATGGATGAGCAGAGGTCTGCGATCTGGGTGGGTTCCAGAGACCAGTTGTTCAGCTCTGCTTGTCTCATGCTCTCTCTCAATCCTTGGGAGCATAAAACACACATTAAAACACACAAAGAGCACAGCGACTGTCAGCGCCGGCGACGGCTGCTCTCACCGCTAAGATGCTTTCGTGACAATGAAATGTATGAATCTGCACCAGCTGACTGTCCACAGAAGAGAAATCTATTACGTGAGAAACTAATTTACAAACATGAAGCAAAAACTTGGTTGCAATATATATTCATTATGTCAGTAACCTTCAGTGGGTGATATTTAAAAAACATCCTACCTTGCAATCCTAGACTGTAATTGGATAAACTGACCTGCTGAGCTCGGTGTTTTGGTAATTAAACTTGAAGGCAGTGTTATTTAATTGAAGAGCTCAGTTTAATTAAACTCGTAATCAACTCCACAGTGTCAACACTTCAGCACTCAATCAAAAGCTGGGGCAGTACTGTACTATCAGCCTTAAATGTTTTTCTCCTCTGATGGAGGTAAACCTGACGGAGAACACTGGAACATGTTTACGCTGGACAGCTAAGAAAACAGTTGTCAGTGCAGTGAGATCTGCTTGTGGCGTCCAAACCGCACCTTGGAAAGGTGAAAGGTCGACATCGGCCCAGTTATAGCTGCTAGCAATACGACAGCTTTCTTTCAGTGCATCCAGATTTGGGTACCAGTCAGACAGTAAACCTGCAACACACACACAGCATACTATCTGTAACATTACAAGATACCAGACGAGATTCTGCTGCTAATTTGGTTCTAGTGCCAAGTTGACTCCTGGGACAAATACAGATTTATCCCTAATTACATCATTTACGGGCCATTGCACAATAATTGCTGCAACTGTTTGTTTTGTTTTTTTTTACTGTGATTTAGGCAATAAGGTCAGACGATGCATTTCCATTGTGGTCACATTTTTATAGCTGTGCAGGCAGTCTTGTGGTGTCAAATGAATGAGAAGGTAGCACCAAATAAAACATTTATCAGGCTGCAGTACTGCGGTGCGGCCACTAGGAGGAGCCAGGCGACTCCACAAAGCCGCTGAAGTCACTGGCTCCAGTGGTGCTTTGTTCTCAACAGCACATATAACAAATCAGATGATGATTTACCGTTTAGCACTTAAAACAACAACAATGGTGCTTTATGGCTACAGAATGAGAACCGACGTGAAGCCACATTCAGCGGCGAGCGCGTCATGGCCGATCCGGTTCACGTGTGTGATGGACAGGATGAAGAGGAACAAGAACACGAGGCGACGCCGGTCCACAGGAGCACGGCGCCAGACAGAGGGTCTTACCTGTGTTGCAGGCCATCTGTTGCTGGGTAGGATGGGGCTGGTGGGAGAGGCTCTGGTGCTGCTGTCCGTGCTGAGCAGGGTGCTGGCTGTGCTGCGAGTGTTGGGAGGGGTGTGGCGTGTGCTGCTGTGGGTGCTGGCCGTGGGACGGGTGCTGCGATGGGTGCTGCCCGTGCTGGGGGTGCGCAGCGTGCTGGGGGTGCTGTTGGTGCTGTGGGTGCTGTGGGTGCTGACTGTGTTGGCTGTGCTGGGCGTGTTGGCTGTGTTGGTTGTGTTGGTTGTGGGGGCCGCCGTGCTGCGGGAGGTGCTGTGCGTGGGGGGAGCCGTGGCCGGGGTGGGCCTGGGCGGGATGGGACAGGGGCACTTGGCCACTGTTGGCGGAGTGGCTGTTGGGGTGGCTGTTGGGTTGGTTGTTTGACAGACTGTTCTGAGTGCTAATGGTGCCACTGGGGGAGTGCTGATAGGAGCAGGAGGTGTGGGTCTGCTGGGAGGAATCTGACGGTATGCCCATCAGACCTGGAAACAAAACACGGAGCTGTCAGAGCGCTGGAAAGAAATGTCACTTACACACAGAAAATTATGCAAACATTTTGATGCAACTTACAATTATTATGCAAACATCTACAGATTACTTTCTTGATTAATTAATGAGTTGTTGTTTTTTTTTTCCATTAAATGTCAGAAAACATTTCGGAGCTCAAAGTGACATCTTCAAATGCTCGGCGTCGTCTAACCGACAGCTAAAAACAATCATCAGCTTTAAATGAAATCAGTACCCACAGTGAGGGAGCTGGAACGAGGAAGTGGCCCGGTGGTTAGCTTAAACAAATAATCAGAATAGTTTAATCCGTCTATCAGCTGATCATTTTGAAAGCAAAGGTGCCAACATTCACTCGTTCCAACTTCTCACGTGTGACCGTTTGCTTCCTTCCTCAGTTTCTTATAAACTGCATATATTTGGGTTTTGGATCACTCGCTGTAACAGAAACAGCTACTTGTAGACGTCACCTTGGGCCCTGGGAATCACTGCATCTAAAAATATTTGACAAATTAAATGATAATATCTTCAGCTGTGGAGAGGAGACGATTAAGTCCGACACAGACGCACTCACGTGGTTTGAGGATGAGCTGAATAAGTGCAGGGCAGCTACTTGAGGTCATCTATCCTAACATCTTACAGTAATGGGATGTGGGCCTCCCTTGTTTAAGTAGTTCTACACTTGAGACAGACCAGCTGCCATTTTGTCGTATCAGAGAATGACTCAGCATCCATCGGTTGTGATTCTAAGGTTGGCGAGCTCGAGTTGCCGTTGTCTCTCCTCTCCAGCTACACAGCCCTGGATTGTCTTTGACAAAATCGCCGTGCTGCTGCTGCCGCTGCTGCTACGCTGCTGCCTGGCTTTTTAAACAGACACGACTGGCGCATGAACATCTGCACACCCAACTGCAATCATCTGAGTGGCGGGGAGTGGTCTTAAGAGGCCCTGTCCTTCACAGCTTTGGCACAGTAAACCTATTTCACTGGAGTGCTTTTAGAGCTGACTCCAGCCCTGCACCTCCACAATCGGCACGTAACACTCACTGCAGGGGTGACAAAGGTGCATCTCTTATCGGCACAGAAAGCCCATTGTCCAACTAGGGAAATACAGAAAGCAATTAACGCGGCACCAGAATAATAATGCGAGCTCATTACCTATTATCAAAGCCAGTGAATTAGCTCACTGTCTACAGCGGCAGAGTGTGAAATCCTCTAGCTCGATTATTTACGCTTTTTAATTGCTAGAGCTTGTCTGACTAAGAGATTTCACTTTTATGCGCATAAAAAAGGTAACAACTTTCAACTAATGAAACATAGATGATAGATTAAAGGAGAGGAACTCTTTGAAAACATTAGCATGAAATGCATTTGATTTGTGAAAGTAGGTTATACACAGAAAGCTCCGTCGACTTTGCTCGTAACTCACTTGTCAAGTGCTCCATGTTTATCAGTCAATCAGATTACAAGCAAAACTGCTTTTTGTTCTGCAGGGACTCATCATTTTGGAAAGCTGTGCTCCATCCACACCGTGCATTATATGAAACAAAGTCCCCATCATTATGACAAATGAACTACAAATCCTGCAGCTTTACGGAGGACTCGCTGCCTATACACTCCTCCTCCACTCGGCTGATGAAACGCAGCAAACATCTCCAACGTGATGAGAGACAGATAACTTTCATGTAATGTGAAAAATATAAAGCAGGAAATTAACCATAAAATAAATGCAGTAACATCTCTTTGCATCCTTTAATAAAATATGTATGACATGAACTCTGAGACTCGGCTTTTGAATGTAAAACGAGATCTTTTCTGCATTTCTCTGGCAAAAGATCACGAACACCCTCAGCACAGATCTGCACTACGGGCTAGTCAGCCTGTCCAATACCTGCTCGCTTCTTAGTAAACCTCATTAGTGCCTAAAGACTCTCCATAGTCCTCGCTGTTAAGAACAAACCCACATTAGGAAAATCGTTGTGAGAATCATCCTGTTCCTTGATAAGTGAAGCTTAGGCTCTCGATTAGGTTTCCACTCGACGCTCCCGTGAGGCCACTCACCTTGTTGGCTGAAGGACTGCTCAAAAACAGACTTGTAAAGGCTGCGGAAGGAGGCACTGAGATCTTCAAATTCTGAAAACAGGAGCTGCTTGTCCCTGTCTGGCATGTTGTACTGGGACTGGGGGGGCTGCTGGAGGCTCAGAGACTGGGACACAGGCTCTGGGTGGCTGGTCACCTGGGGAGACGAACAGTTTCACAAAACGGAGCAGATTACGACTGTGTTGAATGTTTAATTCGTGAAAGTAGACTGGCTGGAGCTGGGCTACAAGCGGACCACAGACTACGGGGCTACCGATGCTAAGAGGAGCGAGCTGTGATGTTTAAACAAGCACATGAATAATACACAGTTCTCAGATACCTGCCGCGCTCATCTGGTCATGGAGCCACAAAAGAAAGAAAACACATGAGCTCCAGAAGACGTATCGCCAAACATGTGATTGTTCTGAGGAGGGACTGTGTTCGTTTCTGTCTGACAAGGTGTCCGTCACACAACACATACAGAAGAATTACACAAACAATAACAGCAGGTCAGCGCTCGCTGCCTCGGCTCGCACAGCATTAAGAGAGCAACTGGAATGGACACAAAGCCAATACTCGGGTGGCTAAGCAAAATGTATTTAAAACAAAATCAATAGCAATACCTTGTACAAATAAGCAGCCATTTTATCCATGCATGTGTGTGGGCAGCCAATGTTATGCACTGCCCCTGGGTGTGTGGCAGCAATCAGCGCTCCCTCCAGCAACCAGTCTGTCTACGAGACGCACCGCAGCCAGGGCAGCGATTGCTATTTCACAAAGTAGGAGCTGACCCGCGTGCACTGTGGGGCCGCGTTACAAGAGAGGTCACGTCCAATTTTTGATCATAACATCTTCCTCGTCCAATTTGTGGGCAGGCTGCTGAAGTGCACGGCTCGCAGACCGGCTTGGGTAAGAGCGAAGAGGTGATAATAAAGCCAAAGTGTTTACTGCGAGCTGCTGCTTTGACTGCGAGAGAGAGAGAGAGAGCACATCCATCAGGCTGAGCCGATCGATGCCCAGCGCCTGGAGCAGGGAGCACTCTAGGATGCAGGAGGACCACACCAAAGAGGGGGCATCTCTGGTGGGAGGACATCAGAAGAAGCGCTTCTCTTTGTCTGGCTTCCAGGAGCGTGCACATTTTTCTCTGTTTCCCTTAACCCCCTTCCTGATGTTGTACTCCAGCTCATGTCCATTCTGAACCTCGGTCTATTACTGTCTGCGGCTGGCTCCTCTGAAGAAAGCCTCCTGGGGCCCTCTGATCAGATGAAATATGGGATACAGTACACTTTCTAAGTCTGGCAGTGGTTCATTTTCATTCATTTTAGCGACTGTGGCTCCCCCAGGGCTGGAAAAATGTTGCTAAAATAGGAATTTATCATTTGACTTCAGTGCTAAATGCTCAAAAAGAACAACAGCTTCACCAAATATATATAAATATCCTGTTATAAATATCAACGTAAGAGACAGTCACGAGCTGAAGCGTACCTAGAAACCAAAAATACCATCCTTCCACCCTATTCGGTCTTCCCACAGCAGCAGGGGCATAGTGTATTTGGCAACCAGAACGCTGCACTGGCACCTTCATTGTGTTGTGATTGTACCAGCGCACGATGCAGATTAATAGCTGGAAATAAACCAGAGGTGTTCATTCAGATCAGCCTAACCAAGACACAGCTAAGCTACACTCGCTCTACCTGTGTCGGCTAGGACTCTGCTCTGTGAGCTTCCATCGCGTGGTGCATCATTTTTTCGATACCAGATGGAAGGTGTGAGTGCAGGGAAAGATATCGTGCTCCGTTTTCTTTCCAGCTACAGGCTGCTCTGCTGTAGCTCTTCATGCTGCTGCAGCTGTTCTCCCTCGTTTTGGGTCCGTTTCAGTCACCAGATAACCTCTAACCGTCCTCAGGTCACTTCAGGCTGAGGTCATCGTCCTCGGGGTCCTTTCGGTTCGGTGTCTGCTCTTCAAAGTTATTTTATGCGTGCTGGATTTGGGTAGATTTTCTAAGCGCACATTTCACATTAAGTCCAGGGTTTCAGATCAGCAAAGACCTCTGAAATACACTCATCACTGCAGAGTTATAACCAATTGAAAGCGCGTCCTTGTTCTTACCGGTGTATAGCTGTGCACACTGCCCACGCTGTTGAGATTGACAGAGGCCAGACTCTGATCAGACAGGCTGTTGTTAAGGCTGCTTCTTGGACTATCGCTCCCTTCCTGGTCTGTGTTGTATAACGCCACCTGAAACACATACATGTGCTGCATTAGCTTTCATTTCTCAGAAACGCACACTAATTACTGTTATCAATGCCGTGTGTGCTCCTGTGGAAGGTAGAGCGTGTCATCGCTCCTCGGACAAAATGTGTAAGAAAGGTAATGTTGGTATCTGATGAAATAAGACGATTTCACATAGAAATGGAAACGCTTTGGATGTGTGTATGCTGCATGTAATGACATGTCATGAAAGCAGAGCAGTTTTTCATTTGGCTGAGTGTGTGTGGGAGACACACGGTGTGCCGCTCAACAGCCTCCACGGCCACTGAGGGCTTCCATCTGAATGTGTAGAGGGGTCTGGAGACAGCTGAGACATTCCCGTCACTAAAGGTCACACTACTGGCGATGTCAGCCACATCTGCTCACCAAGCGCAAATCCGTTTGGGACAGCTAACAAAGGATTCCAGTGCAGCCGAGACACTGACCTTTCAATGTAGGAGCGAAACTAGCCGAAGCACTTCAGGACGACAATCTTAATTATCGTCTAACAGGGTTCAGGCCTCCCACCCTCCCCAAATAAAGTGCGCCGTCAGACAATTAGGGCAATAGTAAGAAGAACAATCCAGATAATGAATATAATGATACCCACAGAGAATAGCCCATGTGCTGAGGTTCAGTTTGTGAGAAAGGAATGGCAGCAATGCACTGACGACGGTGTTGCAGGGAAGAAGGCCTGGCATTCTGAGGTCTGTGTGTGCTCATGTATGTGTGCTGGTCCATGACTGAGTGCAGCATGGTGGCTTCTGCTCATCACTGTGAGTGGAACAGAGTGGGCTCTGTGCTCAGCACAATGAGACAGCAGTAGCAGCAGCCTTCAGGCAGCAGCGTGGCCCTGCCCTGCCCAGCACCCTGCCTCTCAGCAGCAGCAGTGGACTGAAGCCTCTTGTCTCTCCGTTGAGCCGCAGCGTGTTACCACCGAGGCCGCGAGGACGGAGGAAGCTCAGGCAGCCCTGACCGTCCTCTCCGCTCTGACTGATTGGCCGAATGGGTATCGCGCCGGTTCGAATCCGGGATGCAGATGGAGAGCGTCCCATCATGCTAAGCCAGATCGGCTGCAGCACGGGCAGAATGGGATGGAAACATCGCAACTGTAAGAACCTGAAAGCACAAATGCTGAATCCAGGCAACGCTGTTAAAGGAAGAGGGGTGAGGCGGAGGGAGAGGAGGACAGGGGGGGAGTAAGAGAAGCTCATTAGGCAACTCTAGCCTTCCTCCACTCAGTGTGGGCTTGGCTCCAGTGTTCATTAGCGTGAAGGGGAACTCAATGAGCAGCTAAGACTGAAGGCTTAAGCACGTCTACAAAATCAGCTCTACAATGCTAATCAAAAACAGCGTGCCTCAGAAATATAAATGTTATGTGTAATGAAGTCATAAAACAGGCTTTTAGCCTTAAGTCTCTCACCACAATCTATTTTTACTCTACTCAACCATAAAGTGTGATGATTTCAAAACCTCACTCCTCTGTGGTTTACCCAGACCCCTGAGTCCCCAGAGTGAAGACACCCACTCAAGCAAACGCCATAGCAGACTAACACCCAGTCGCATCTCACCCACATACACAGAAGCATGCACCTACATACAACACACACACTGCTACAGCTACACAGGTAGAATAACACACACACACACACAGACAGAGGCGAGCATGCTCATACAGGCAGCAGCAGCGCCACAGTAAACACTGTGCACGGCTAGCAGGCAAGCGAGTCAGAGTTCTATTCTTAGCAATGAATTAAGTAAAAAGCCAGAGGTGTCTTTTACATGGGGGCCTAATCTGGAGCATGAGACATGGATTATGAAATCAAAGCAAGATTGGCCCAGGTGTCTCCAACAATGCCAGCCAATGTTCAGCACAATCCCTGCATGCAGGACTGAACAGACAGAGGAAGAGGGAAGGAAGCGGGAGGAGGAGGAGTGAAGAGCCAGACTATTCACTAGGAAGCATAATTCCAACAATCCCTTCTCTCCCTCCGACCTCACACTCCAGTGGCAAAGTTTCATCACATTCACGCCAGCGTTGGGGGCTGCCCTCGGTACACAAGCTCTGGTGGGGGGAAAGAAAAGTCTGAGTCTATGTGAGAAAGGCACAAAAAGCAGAGAGGGGGAGTACAATCTGGGGAGGAATGTCCGACAGAAGAGAGACAGAGAACAGCGATTCTTGCTGGTTCAGTAGTCGTCCTGCCAGCGTCTCCCATTGGTCTATCTGAGAAGGCGGGAATGAGGGAGAGAGACTGGAATAGAAAAAGGGAGAGAGAAAAACAGAGAGGGAATTCCTGTGGCTTGGCACACTGCACCGAAAGAGGCGTGGCCTGTCGTGTGTTTACAGTGTAAGACAGTGAGAAACAAGCTCTCCGAGGAGTTCGGGCCTCAGATCTGTTGCTATCCTACTTTGTCTTGTGCTCACTTTGCCGCCGTAACAGTTTTTGTCACAACCAAATGAACAACAAGAGACGAGTCAGCGCTGCCTTTCATCAGTTCCTGAAATCACACGGCAGACGAGTTTTGTGCTATTTTAATGTTTGCAGCTTGTTGCTCTTCCAAGTTATCTGACTGGAGGTATTTGGTGGCAGGAGTCCAGATTTAACTGTCAGCTCCTAACATCATTATGCAGTCGCTGCTGGTGGAGGCTGGCGCTGTGGAGAGCGCTAGTTTGGAGCAATCAGGGAGGAAAGGGGGTCATCGTTCTCCACGTTCAGGCCCATGAATCTGTCTGCTGAAGGAACACAAAAAGCTGCTGTTTCTGTTCTCCGCAGAAACAGCCCCTAGCTAGTTGTCACTGAAACACTCGTCACAACAAGCTGAAACACCCTGTAACATACTCTGCCATACATGTGTGCACAAGTTATAGCACACGCCGACATACGCTCAGACTGTAGCCTCACACACACACACACACACACACACTCACCCATCCTTCCTATGAGCACCCCTGCTCACGTTAAACCGTTTTTTGTAATGCTTGCAGCAAATGAATAAGCGACTCTTGTAGGCTTTTTAAAAGTACTCCTGAGAGCTGCCCCCACTGGGCCCAGAGGATGAGAGCTTAAGGTTAAAAAGCCTATTTAAATTTCAGAGTGAGCGGCACACTCACAGCTAACAGCTAGCAGTCCCTGTAGCTTTGCTCTATGATGTACAAGTGTTTCCAGGCTTTTACAGATATTTAAAAAAAAAAAAAGAGAAAGTTACTAAGAGCAGACTGAGCCTGCAGCAGGGGTGGTCACCTGCACCGCGGCGGCAGCATGAGGAACCCTGGGCGTCGACCTCCACTACAGGTGTGAATCCAAACACCCCGAGTAGCGCGGCGAGTATTCTGTTGCAATTGTGAACGAGACTGCGGAAGGTCTATCGGGTTGCGAACGCCGAGTATCGGTGCGAGCATCGTATTTCCGCGCCGAAGATAACAAGCTGCCTGTTGTTGCAGAGGAAAGAGGCACAGCAGGGCAGATAGTTGTGTATTTTGGTGTGGGTTGCAATGAAGAGAAGCTTTAGGCACATGAGCATATGCTTGTGTGTTCGTGTGTGTGCCCGTATCTCCCCTCCACAAGAGTGCTCCTCTCTCTGTGGGGAATAGTGCTGTAGGTGGTTGGAGAAGTGGGTGGGGTCAGGGTGCAGCAGTGTAGCCAGGTGTGTGTTGGAGCTGGAGGCTGGATGGCTGGCTGTAGTACCTTGTTAGTCACAGTGTTGATTGCCAGCGTTGGAGAGGCACTTCCAGAGATCATACACTCCATCCCCAAAGATTCTGACTCCAGGCTGTACGGCGTGGAAGCCTGTGGGGGTTGGGGGCGGGGTGTGGAGGCAGAACAGGAAAAAAAAAAAGTCAACATAATCCAATTAGTAAAGATCCTACTTCTGCAGGTTGCATGAAACGACCCGTGTTGTGCTCGTAACAAATGTTCTGCTCATGCTAGACACACATCCATCTGTGAGATCTCAAAAATAAAAAACCTGAGCCATTGTTTTATGACGGAGCAACACCTTTATTTAGGTCACATTTGAACAGTGCTTTCTGAGGAGATGGAGACAGCCCCCACCTCCACCTCCCACCCCGGCACACATGAAGCACACACATGCATGCCCCGGTCTCGCAGTAAAGCACACTGTTGCGAGAGATAACTCTGCCATGCCTGTCTCCTAAAACTGCTTACTGTAAGAGGATTGGCTGCCAACAATTCCATTTTTAATTCATGATAAACATAAATGAGATTTCACAAACTCTCAATTTCAATGTCTGAGACTCTTAATGGGATGCCTTGTAGGCAGGAGGCGGCGTCTGGGGGGGAGGGGGGTGAAGCACGGAGCATGTGTCCTACAGAAAACACACTCTTCACTCTTTTGTGTTGCACTCAAACCAACACAACGGCATGAGGAGGGCTTTGGCTAAAGCTGTCGGCGGAGCTGCATATTAAAAACAATGTGCTCTTTCTGTACCTCCACATCTCTTGTATGTAACATCTCACAGCAGTAACAAAGCAGTTTGTTGAATGAGTGTGATAGTATTCTGACGCTGTAGGGCGACTACACGAACAGCATTTTAAGTCTCTGCGCTCGTGTGCGTGTGCGGCGGAGACGCTGTTGTGTGCGGCGTGTGCGCACGAGTCTCCCTCGCCAGCTTAAGAGAATCTCTCCTCATCATAGCCTCTGGTCAGCCACAATGTGGGGAAGGAGGAGACAGGAGCCCGCTGTGATGGGATGCCCAAGGGCCAGGTCAATCTGAGCAGCTCACTAAAAACCTGTACAGCTGTACGTAATGCTGGACCAAACTCATGCATAATTAAAGACAAAAGCTCCCGCTCAGAATAGCCGGTGCGCACAGTTCTGCATTAATTGATGTTTGTTAAAAAAAGTGAGTGCAAAATGTAATGTATGTAATGGCTGCCTGGGGCATAGTTTATTAATAAGGAGCCCACTTCATGACAGGCTAGCGCAGCAGCATGGAGAGGCAGTTACATAAAGTCTGGATATGAACTCCTACTGAGTCTCTGTGTGTGAGCGGGTTTGCATGCGTATGTCTGCATGTGGTAGAGAAAGTAGGAGAGAAAGGAGGGCAAGAGGAGAAGAAAACGGAGGCAGAATTAGAGAGGTAACGGTGAAGAAAAACATCTAGCAGAGATCAGGGAGGAAGAACAGCACACGGTCGGGTTTCTCTCATCGGACTCACCCGCTCTCCAGACCGCGGCCTCTTCTTTGGCCGTGTCGGCAAGGCGTCCTCCTTTGGGTTGGTGTCGATGGCCCAGTAAGAGCCCTGCAGACAGAACAAACACCTGTGAGCTGATGAAACAGACTGCTTTCTGATGTGACATTAGTGGGAAGTTTGCACAGGATCTAGAGACTTCTGTTGGTGAAACATAACGTTGATGGTTTGAGTCGGGCCTCAGACTCCTGTTGCTGTACCCTGACCCTGTTTCCCTTCTCTCCTGTCTGCCTCCTGACTGTAAACTGTCCAATAAAGATTTAAAAAAAAGGCTTAAAAAATCAGGATTGAGACATTTCCACTCAGATCTTTCTATAGCACTGAAACATACATGCTAGTTTCATTGGCTCCGTTAAAGTCCGTCCTATCAGCCCGAGCATTTATATGAGTTGATCGCTGTGTGTTTAGAGTTTGTGCGGTGTGTGGGAGGGCTTTGTTAGCAAGAAAGGCTTGGCTTTTCCTCCTCTGTGGCTGTTCCTCAATGAGAGGCTGGTGAGGGCAGCTGGCGGTGGTGAAATGCTAAGCCTTTCCTGAAGCTGTACTTCCTCAGCCTCAGGTACTGAAGTCAGAGCGCTGTTTGCCAGAGATGAAGGATCCACAGTCTCAGCCCAGGAATGGAGGAAACGCCAGCGCTGCCGTCTTCTAAGGTCTGGGCAAGGCTAATCGAGGAGAGAACAGTTGGGGCTGGCTCTGGGGCTGCAGCTAGTAATTCCACAACCAGGCTGCATTATTTATCTTTGCATTCGGCCCCATTTAATTTATTTTTCAATGGTGCTCCTCCTCGAAGCCGACAGGACTGCCGCTTACAGTTGTTAAAAATGAGATTTTCACCCTAAGGCCCTGCAAGTTCTGAATTTATTTTTAATATTTCATATGACCCCCGATAAAATCTCAATTGTCAAGAGAAAGTGAGATCAGGACCTTTAAAATTACTTCCTTAGCACAGAGAATAATTGATATTTCCATAAGAAATTCTCTGAACAACAGGCGAGGCCATAGAACAAGCCGTATCTCACGTATCTATACAATAACGGCGGCACACACACACACACACACACACACACAACGGCCTGCTCTTGTTAAGTCTGTTATTTTCACGGCGCACACACACACAAACCATTGTTGTGATTGTTAAAATGAAAACCCAGGGTTGGCCTATATTTGTCAGGGGGTTAAAATTATAACTTTTAATATGTGTGAGGCTTTGGGGTCAATTAACATTTTCCTCAGAGACAAGAATAACTCACAGCACAATCAACATAAGATGAAGAAGCATCACATATTGATGTAGGCTACAGTGAAAGAAGCCTCATTACAACAAGCTCACATTTTACATGAGATCCTTCGCTGACGAACGTATGGAAAAGAGAGACACGGCGTCTCCACGTATCGTTCTTAAACTGCAGGGGTTAAGTGCAGAGGTGCAGATACAGATGTTTTAAAATTAAGTGTCACACAAACAAAGCCGGGCTGGATGGTGTGTCTTTTAATTAGGGGGGGAAGAACACTTTAAGTTAACCCTCATGGGATCGGAGTTTCTGCATTTCCCTACACCCGCCCCCAGAGAGTTGGCAGGAAAAAAGAAAAACATATAAAGAGTCATTAAATTATTCACAAATATACTGCAATATACTGTAGCGACGCCAAGCCGAGTGTATCCTTGGAGTCTGGGGCAGCAACAGCTACGATATTCTCTGCAGTTATAAAACAAAGGCCGCTGTAAAGAATAAAAAAAAAAAAAACAATAATAAAAAAACCAGATCCCGATAACAGATGTACACTACCTGTTCTCTTCCCCTAAATGACGCAGCTCATTTTCATACATCACCATAAATTATGTCATCCGCTTCCCCTTTTGTATGTAAATAGAGGCAAGACAAACAAAAAAAGGAGCACGGCGGTTATCCTTGGTCGAGACACAAGACCAATTAAAACCAGGATTACTAAGAGTAGCCTTCACAGGCTGCCTTTCTACCTCCGAGGTGTGTGTGTACGTACAATACCGACTGTCATCTCTTACACCATCTCAGAGAGAGACAGACAGACAGACAGACAGAGAGCGACATGACTCTCCTATCTCATCCAACCAGCAGTTCTCATATTCCTGCCACATTACAATATTGATGCAACATATCAAGAGCGGCTAGCGCCTCTTTGAAGTTGTCTTCGGGGGGGAAGGGAGTGAGGAAAATTCCAAATTAAACATTAAGGATGCGAGCATGTTGGCCATGCATTTGGAATGGGATCCATACAGCAATAGATTATTTTGTATTTAGTGGAGCAGCTCCCAGGAGTGTCAATATCAGAGGATTACAGCAAAACATGAAATTAGCATTCAGTCCCCATCCTCTACACAGCTAGGCGTAGCTCTTCATGCATGTGTTGGTGTGTGTATATGTGCGTGTGTGCGTGTGTGTGTATAATTATTTGTGCGGTTCCCTAAGCATATGTACCGTGTGCTCTGACAGTGCACGGATGATATCTGGGTTAGGCTACATATGGCTAGACCTATGCACACCATCATATTAAATACAGGCCTATAGGCTCCCTCCTCAGTCTGTCAGGGGATGCTACTTATCAGGTTGATGTCACCGGAGATTGTGGAGTAAATCGTCCTGAATGTAGGTGGTCCTACTGAGATTTAAATGTCAAATTAACATGGACTATACATCCTTTTACTGAGCAGAGAGACTGGAGAGCTGAGCGGAGAGCAGACGAGGTGGGTTCAGCCTCACCTTGAGAAAACACGTCTGGAAATGACCTGACTTCTACCCCGTTACGGTCCCATCTCTACCAGACTTTCTCCCTCATCACCCACATCTGCTGTCTGCGTTGGTCCAAAAAACTAGTCTTTCCTTATATTTGAAACGCACTTCTGTGGGGGTGGGAGGTTCGTAATAGATTACGAGCATTCCATGCATTTCCAGACCGTCAGAGTCCTGGCAGCCATTCAAAGGTTACATTTTTCTACCAGAGATGGCATGATGCGCACCGCAAAAAATGCTGTAACCGTGGATTTGGCCAATTCAGGATACTTACTCAGAGGTTAACATCCTCTATAGGCATTTATTTAACAATTGCATGCAGTCATAATAAAGACAACGTCTTCAGGTCTCACCTTTCCTGGGTCATCTTTGGAGCGAGGCACTTTGAGAAAACACTTGTTCAATGACAGATTGTGCCGTATCGAGTTCTGTGGGGAAGAGCAGAGACAGACAGGTGGCAAGGTGAGTGAGCGCATCACAAAAATCACATTACACAAGCAGGTAGCCGGGTGTGGAGGAAACATCCCTGGCAGCAGCAACAAGGGCACACGCCTTGTTGTATCGTTTAGGTTTAGTCACAGCTCGTGTCGCCGAGGCCGGCTGGTTCCAGTGACATTAGATCTGGATCACTACGATGTCCAGATTTCACTCTGTTCACAAACACAGGAGCTGCTCAGAATCCACCACAAAGCAATATCTTTCATCAATGTCCAACAAACTGCATTCTGGTTGCACAACATATCGAATTCCACGGGTGCCAAAAATAGGAGCCAGAAGGAATCCCACACTGGGATGGTTGCTGATAGCAGGGCCTGATATTAATTAATGCTTCAGCGGGCTCCTGTGGGGGCAGGAAATAAATTATGTAGATCATTCTGAAAGTTAACTCATTACAGCGTTACAAGCTACTCCACAGCAGTGAAGAGGGAGGTTCATCCAGCTGCCTGATAGGAGAGGCGAGGTGGGCTGAAGTAGCCATGAGGGCTCGGGAGCAGCGCTCGAGGCCTGGGTTAACCAGGAACAGCAAGGCCCTCAGAGCCAGCTGGAGCCAGACCAGCTGAGGGCTTACAAGAGCCAATGGATGCGCACGTTCCTCCACTCCACTTTATGGAGTGGTATTGACAGATGGTCACACTAAAAAGCAGGAGGATTCTCTGATGAGTTTAACGGATGGAGGAGATAAGCAGAGCGAGGGGCAGAGAGAGAGACCGAGAGCCAAACACCCCCGAGTGCAAAAGATGGAAGCTGCTTGTTCAACACTACGGCAATTATACCACAGGAGGCACGATAATGACAACCTGGTTGTAATGCTGTCAATCTCACTCATTAAATCACTCTGAAATGCCAATGCAATCTAAAAGAGGTCTGACACCGTTCTCCAGGAGAAAATACACAGAGAACACGGATGTCATAGTCAAAATAACACATCTGTGACTGGGCCAGAAGGGAACATCTCCTGAAAGTAAAACTCAACCCAGAATCTATCTTTGGAATATCAGAAAATAACTGGTCCGAGCCTGCAGGGCATGAAAGGGCCACGGTCAGACTCCACACTCCAACGCAGCTATTGAGCTTCTCCGCTTCTGGAGAACCGATGGTCCAGAGGAGCCTGTGGCCACTCATCTCGCAGTCACTCATCTTCATCAAAGCTGCACACTTTCCTCAACCTTTACTGGTGGAATGAATTTTCCACTTAAATCAGGACATCAGGGTCAGAGCCCTTATTCTGACATCAACTGAGAACCAAACTTTTCAGGTTGACACTGCATGTTAACATTTATCTATTGCCTACATCTTAAATAAAATAAAATATTGTGATATAGCACTGAAAACGGTTGTAGCTGCTGGTTTAGGAGGGCTGAAGGCACCTAATTATTATTTAATTAAGGTTGAATGCATTCATTGTAAAAAACAAGGCTAGCAAAATTAAATGAGGTGTTTTAGGAGCAGAAGATCTGTCCTGTGAAACCTCTCAACACACCCGTGGACGTCCTGGTTTCACAAACATGTGGCTTAAGAGGTTCCTGCCATGTCACCATACTGCCTTTTCTGAAATTGTAAAACTATGTGAAGTAATATAAAATACCATAACGCTGACACACATTCAAGATGAGTCGCTGCTGCTCTTTGTGAAGACGCAAAATAGGAATAAAATAAAAATACAGCTGCCGTTTAACACAGCGGGTCTGGATGTTTGATATTAAAGACTTTGGGTGGAGTCCCGCCCGAACACACAAACTGAGGAAACTGAATCCTTACAGACAAAAACAACAGAACACAATAGACATGGAAATAAGAGACACAGACTTTCACAAGTCATATGCAGGCAGGCTGTCCTACACCTACATGCAAGACTTTAGATAACATAACAGCATTATTTCAAAAAGAAGAAAGAAAGAAAAACTCCCACAAGACAGAGGAACAAAGATGGTATAGTCCAGCTTACTAGTTATTACTGTCATTATGAATCAATTATTCTCTTCAGTTGTACTAATTAATCATTAAAATAACCACGTCGTAATCGAACAGCTCACAACTCAAACACTGTTTAGCAGCTGGATATCATGTGTTCTTGGAGAAATGATGAGTTGATGAACAGAATCTGCTGATGTTTTGGCAACTGACAAACCCACTGATCAATACTTTTAGCTATAGCCGTGCTCATTTCAAGTAAAAGGCACACAGCCATCACAGCTGCTGCAACGCACCAGAATAAATTCATGGAAAGATCTCAAACCACAATGTGTTTCTGTCCCACGGTTATCAGATCTTTGCAGCTCGACGCGGAAGCACTCAGGCTTCACAGCACTCGTGTGGTCTGAACGTAATCCAGCCACATGTGCACCACGTTTCTTCCAAGTGAGAACTTGCACTGATGCGACACAGAAACACCTAATCTGTAAAATCAGATCTGAGAGGTCACACAGACTCCACGTATGCGCTTCGTACGCTGTGAGGCAGTAATGTGACGGTCCCGGGGCGGCGCAGGTCTCGCTGGTTGACCCCAGCGTTGCTCAGATGGACGGCCTCCTCTCAGGCAGACAGATGCTAAACATAGTCGGGCTCCTTTGTAAGTGACAGCGCTATTATAAAAGCCTTGTCCTTTTACCTTGTCATAGTTCAACATTAGTTCAGATGAATAAAACAATGTGCGGTGTGATCATGCATAGTGGATGGTGACAAAGAGATAAGAGGCTCTCCACTTAGCCGTCCCGCGCTACTTTAAAACCCCGAGACGAGTCCAACAGGAGAGCGTCTGAGCGAGGAGCTGGTGATGCAAGCCGTACAATGCCACACACACTTAAGTACTTAAAACCATTTTTCCTTCGCAGCAGCGCCTCTGTGTTTCTGAGTGTGTGTGCCATTTGATGCCGGGCGGACAGAAGCAGCTGAACTTGCACAGAGAAGAGGTGGCTCGATCCATTAAGGACCGTCTGCTGGGCCTAAATCATTGATACAGTCAAGCAGCCGAGGCCTGCAGCTACATCAGAAGTTTAGTTTTTAATGAACTCTGCCTGCCTGCTCTCCTCTCCTGACAGGGCCCGTGCCCGCCACGTCTCATATTGTGTCAGATAAACTCTTTCCACTGCTTTAGACACGTTTGTGGTGTGAAACTAGCAGGCTGTGGTTCATTTGTAGGCAGAGAGATGAACCAGAAAGAAAGGGCAGGAAAAAAACAAAACAAAACACGACGACGGTGACAATCACTGCGTTTGATAGATCACAGTGTATCTGACAGGGAGCAGAGAGCAAGACAACAGTTGGATGACTAAAAATTAAATTACGACAGAGCAAATGAACAATACGTTTGAGCAGATTCACCATCCAGGTCTGTGTGAGCACAAGTCACAGCTTTACGTTGGTATCAGGGTATAAGTGGATCTACAGTAGAGGGAAATGAAGTAGGTGGAAGAGGTCAGAGGGTGTTAACAGTTGTACACAAAGTGAGTCAGACAGAGCTCACTGCAGGGGTCCTGCCCAAGTGCTGCCCAGCATCTACCTGCAACCCCCACAGAGCACTTCATATTCAACCTCAGCACCAGCACCAGCCTGCGTGTGTGTGTGTGTGTGTGTGTCCATGTATGTGGGATGCCTCCTACACACCTTAAAACACACGCACACACACTGGAACGTGTCTCCGAACAAATGGCGGTGATTTAACACACCAGGACAGCAGCGGAGGCGTAAGCAGCTCCGCCCTCGCTGTCCCCCCCGCCGAGGAGCGCTGCAGCTCAGCACAAGGGCCGCCAGGGGAAAGTAGGTCAGGCTGACCTCTGCGCTCGGCGTGTCAAACGTTCAGAGTCAGCTAAAGGGACAGGCCACGTCAGAGCCCTGCTCCTCACAGCTGGGGAGGAGGAGGCGCCCCGTGCACATGGCCAGGGACCCAGGGGAGCGAGCGCTGCATGCTGGGACGGACGCGCATGTACGCATAGCGGTTGTGACACAGGGACGGACACCAGCGAGCGACTCACACCGTGGTCCAACGCGAACAAATCAATGCCCACTTTCCACTTTCACACCATCTTTGTGCAACTTTATGCCTCTAGACAAAACTTAAAAAAGGAAGAATAAAGCGTGCGGGGGCTCTGACCAACCAACACTCTGCCCACTCCTGTGTTTCCCACAACTAACACAAAGCAACACGGAGGTATTAGTCCGGTTCTAGGTTTACTTGAAGCATTCCTGAGACCCAGAGAGAGTCTGAGATGACCTGGAGGTGCTCTGAAGGTGTTTAGATTAAACTCCAGCGGAGGGGAACTTAAATGCGGTTGGATTTGCTGCCTCTGTGATCAAAGTGTTCTCCCTTACGTTGCGGTGTGTGGGAAAGTAGGCGGGGGTAAGCAGTGTCAGGAACCGGCGGTTAAACATCACACTGACCTCCACAACAGGAGCCGCTCACAAACAGGAGCAAATAATTCAAGTAAGAAAATTACTCCTGAGTCAGTCCAAAAAAAGAGCAGGTCTGTGGAGGGAACCGAAGGGACGCACAGCTTAAAGTAAGGCAGGGTTAGTTAAGGTGACGTCTATTCATAGCATCGCTCCCGTTTTAAGTTTATCCCGTTTTGTATGAAATGAAAATGTTGTTTTTTCTCATTCACAATGAAACAGAAGACAGAATGTACCACAGGGCTTCACAGAGTGGAAAAACGGTAAAAAAAAACTCTATTCAGCTAACATCTTGTATGAGGGGAGAACCACAAATCAGACCAACCGTAGCAAACATCCTCGCAAGTACTACAGCTCAGAAGACAGGACCTCAACCTCTGACTGACCTGCCAGCGAGTCTGAATGATGGACGGATACAAAGACCTGAGCTACTGCTGAGAGAGACGCTTTAGATCTGCTCAGAAATAAGATCTCTCAGGTGAATGAATGGCGAGGAGGAGAAAAAGCGCTGCCCGCTGAATGGATGAGCGACTGAAACAAC